CAGATACCCGATCATGCAGTGTAGACTTTGGCACACCAAACAGTTCACTTGCATGACGAACGAACATACCTTCCTCCTCCACTGCCTTCAATGCTTTAATCATGCTTACATCTTCCCACTGACAATAATATTGGGGCCTTTCGATAACAAGCTTGGAAGGGTCAGCCTCTACTAACGAATTAGATACCAGTATTCTTCCTGATAGAGGTTTTTTTGACATGTCAACAAACTTCACCTAAATCAAAACAGATCTATGCTTGATAAATGAAGTGTAATACTTGCCTTATCGAGTGAAACCGAGAGTGAAACACAGTAATAACAGCTTATCAACCTCGTTATCAAGATTAAAACAACTGAGGTGAGACTCATGAGACCTGACACAGCAAACAACACGAGGCAGCAGTGTATTGGGTGGAGCATAAGTGGACGACAATTAGAGTAAAGGGTTAATTATCGGCCACGCCCATCAATCGGACACTCTTGTTTCACTGTGCTAAAACTTTCTGCTTATCTTCTTTTATCAGCTGGTGCTTCTTATCATGTTAAGTTATTATCCATAATATCAGGCTAAAATAGCTCTTTGTTTTTACAGGAGGTGCTTGTAAGTGAAAATTCTCGGACGGTCCTCACTTCGGACATGAGAGTGAATCCGCGGACGGTGGCTCTCCTGTTAAGAGGGAAGAGAGAATGGTGCTCTTGCTATTATCAATGGTTACACCAATGAATGGGGTTTACCAAAAGCAGACAACTTTGAATCTATTCTGCACTGATTGCGGGAAATCGTCACTCCACCACGGGTCCTATGGGAGCCATATTTCAGACACCCAATGTTCGGACGAGTATTTTTAAAAATGTATTTTGTATTGTTTTATTCAGTCAATTCTGCTGTTTATCCTTGTTAATTGTTACTAGCCATATCCTATTATTATTATTATCAATAATTCAAAGACCATGCTGGATCTTCGGATGAACTATTAACATTCTAAAAAATTCATTCAGTTTTATCATTCACAAAATTAGATGTAGAGTACATTATCAATGATCGTACACCATCAATTTTCGGACACTTGTTTTAGGAAAACTATACATTGCCATCTCATGAAACTGCAAAGTATTATAGCAATAGTTATCCTTTATTTGCGTGACAAAACTTGTAGCTCTAGCAAGAGTGCATAGAAAGTTATAAGCTCTCAAAGCGTGGTGTCCGACAATACCAATGATCGGCCAAAATTCTCAATCTTCGGACTGTCATTTCTGAACGGCAGCAAAGGATAGTTTTAGAAGATCACTATGATAACTTTGTAGGCCTGTCTTTAAACTAACTATCACCATCCGGATCTTTTTGATAGCTGTCTTTTTGTCAGAGATAATGGCCACTTACAATGTGTCACCTGATCCCTCAATATACGGACAAATTTTACAAAAATATACAAAAATTATGAATTTTATTAGTAAAACTCCGTAAAATCATCAGTTTTGTATATTTT